ACCTGTGGTTTACTTGATGACCAATATGATTTCTTTCCCCCCAAACACAGAGTGCAGTATTATTATAAACAGTAACTTCTATTTTTAGGAATTGCAGGTTTCCCATCTTGGCTGCCTTACCAGAGAGTTTCTGAATCAGGGCCAGCTCTCTTTCAATAACACAAGACATAATCTAAGCAGAATAGTAATGATAGTCCAGAATTTTTTAGAAAATCCAAAGAACCAAGGACTTTCAGTGATTTGTCTAAACAAGGTCTATTGTCAACCAGGATAAAATATCATTTTATTGTGTCTGGTTTGTGCTCTGGCATTTAACTGAAGCTTAACAAATAAGACTGTAAATTCAGGGACAGGAAGCAGTGAATAACAAAAAGAACTAATGTCTCCTTGACATCACTCACTCTTAAGAAGGCTGTTTACTTCTCAGTTTACCTCCCAGTGTGTTTTAAAATACTCTCGCAAATCTCAGCTTGAAATAGCTGTTCTACCTTCTCTCAATAGAAGCCCCCACCTTCTAAGTACACTGGCTTATAGTTATTTATAAACCTGATGTCAGTCAAAGATTATTTTGTATATCCCTCCTCCTAACTCTCTTCTCCCTACATACCAAGATAGACCTATATAAAATTAGAAACTTCACATAAAAGTATTCAGTCACTTAGATAAGAATTATTGTCAGCAATCATTTCTGAAGCATAAATTTATCATATTGGTTAAAGCATGTCTCTGAGACTGTTTCATAGATACCAGCTCCTTAAAAAAAAGAAGGCTTCTGTGGCCAAGCTGGTTTGGAAAACTATATGCCTCTTAGGGATTTTAAACTCTACAATAAAGTAACTTCAGGTAAGTTAGAAATTGTAAATCTATTTCCTCGAAGAATCCTTTTCTTTCAGTACCTGGTAACATTTCATGGAATAATGTGTCTTGAATCACATTTTTGAAAATGAGGGAGGTGGCCTGCACACGGGATATGGAGGCAGGAGGCCTGGGCAAAAGGTATCATCAGATATCACAGAGAAATATAAGGTTGTATTAGGCAATGAATTATATATAAGCATATAAAGATATCTGCCCTAGTAATTCTTACCTAACAATTAGGTATTTAAGTCTACTTGGGGGAACAAGGTCAAGGTAGGATTAGAGCATGTTTGATCCAGAAGTTTCTTTGGTGATAATTGAATTTAACCCTTTCATTTTATGTATGATGAAGTGAAGGCCCACAGGGGTCAAATGAATGGCTTAAGGTCACTCAGGATTAATGTTAGGAATATCTGATTCCCACCCAGTGATGGACCTTATTGCCCAACGGCTGCCTCAGTGTGAGACAAAACATGGCCCTATGAAATTTTCAGTCTAATGAGGTGAGACATACAAATGATATAATCAGAAAACAAGACGACATGGAGCAAAGTTTAAAAGCTCAAAAATGGGGCTGAAGGTAACCATTCGAGATGAGGGATATGATAACTAGCTTGACTGTAACAGCTATATCAAAATGAGTATGCATATCCAAACATCGTCTCAAAACTTATATACATATAATTACTATTATTTTAAAAATAATTTATTTTGGCCGTGCTGGGTCTTAGTTGTGGCACTCAGGATCTTCTGTGAGGCCTGTGGACTTTGTAGCTGTGGCATGCATGTGGGATCTAGTTCCCTGGCCAGGGATGGAACCCAGGCCCCCTGCATTGAGAGTTCAGAGTCTTACCCACTGGACCACCAGCAAAGTCCCTGTAATTTTTATTTTTTAAAAATGTGGCTGAAGTAACAGGGGCAATGAGAATTCAGGAGTGAGGAAGCCCAGTAGCCAGGCTCAACTGGAGGTAAGACTGGAGCTGGGGCCTTAAGGAGTACACAGCACTATGTTGAATTTGGATACTGTAAGAGGAAAAACAGTGGTGCTCCAAAACAGAATTGGAGATGATAAGTCAACAGACTAAGCGGCTGGCAATACTCTAAATAGTCAGGCATTATAGTTTGGGTGAAATATTCATCAGTAAGCATTACTGGACCCTTTCAAATTCTGAGAAGTTTCTGGAGCTTCAGAGAGAATATGAGAAGTAGACAACATTGTCTCTGATTTTAGAAAGCTTATTTCTTTATTTGGAGAGGAGATGGGAACATAAGACAAAATCGGAGAATGTAAGCGTGTAAGTATCTTATACAAAGGGTAGTAGGGGAAGATGGGCTGTTAAGGCAGGATTTCTGCAGAAGATGAACCCTGAGTTGTTTCTTAGGAGAAACTTGTAGTTGATTCATGTTTGAAAACACCTAGGATAATTCGTGTCATTCCTTGCATTAAGAGGGAAGTTTCAATATGCATATAATGTAGGACTGTGTGTTATTCTTCTGTCCTTGGTCTTTATTAACTTTTTAATTCTTTCCTTGTCATTTCTTATAGGATATCAAGTGGAGGACTAGACTGCTTGATTCAGTATGGTTGCCCATACAGATGTGTACCCCGAATAGTAAGGGCCTGCTTTTATTCCTGTTTGTTACCTCTTCCTCTTTCACATCCATCATGTTCCCAGTCTTCCTATGATGGATAATTGACCTAATTAAGAGCATAAAAGGTAAGATTAAAGGAATGATTTTAAGACTCTGCCCCATTAGTCACCATTCCCTCCAGCTAACCAGTTCCCAAGTCCTGTTGACTTTTGACATTCTAAATATTTCTCAACCTGTTCTCTGCTTTCTCTGCTCTTTCCTCTGCTGCTCGATTCAGATCATAACCATTTCTCATCTTATTTATGCAAGTACATTGCAACTGGATTCTACCTCTCTTTCCTTCAATCCTTAACTTCATCTCTCACAATCAGAATCACTTTTCAAATACGCAAAGCTGCTTTATCCCTCTAGTGAAAATCCTCCTGAGCTTCTTTTTAGCTTACAGGCAAAGTCCAAAGTGGCATTCAGAGCCTTTCTGGTTCTGGCTCCTGTTCACCTCAGTTTTATCTTTGGTTACTTCTTTAAATCCCATCCATGAGTGTGGTTTTTTTTTTTTTTTTTTTTAGGTCTCAATGATTTTTTTTTTTAATGCAGTAAAGTTGCTCAGCATACTTCAAACTGCTGAACTCCTACTCATCCTTCAAAACTCCTTCATTCCTGGTCACCTCAGTAATGCATTCCCTTTGCCACCTTTTCATAGTGCAAATACAGTACTTTTCAGAGGTATCGTAATCAGTCATGAGTCTGCCTCTTCTACTGAGCTGTGTGCTTCTTAACAAAGGACTTTTGAGTGCTGTCTTCAGATGAGATCAGTGCTGGCATACAGGTCCTGTAGCAACACTGTACCTAGTGAGGTCTTCCCCTACCCTCGCATTCCTCACACCACGACTTGAATAGGTCAAGAAAAGTGCTGGAAGGGTTAAAATCATCAGGAGAAAGAGTGATAATTCACTGATAGAAAACGAAAAAGAGGAGGAAAAAGACAGGAAGGTAAAAGGAAGTTCATCAGGAGATAGTTACTTCCACAACAGGAAAGGCTTTCAACCCCTAAAAAGACCAGTCTATTTTCCTTTTCAGGGAAAACAACATGAATGTTATCCAAATCTTTTGGAAATGAGCAAATTCCTTCCTTTCGCCTGCCCTCCAGCCTCAACTAGAATGGTTTTTATGTGGTGACCTGGAGTTGGTAGCTCAGCAGGGGAGTTCTCTGCCTGGGGACAGAGAAGCTTAGCCTCAGAGGCTAGCTGAGAGAACCTAGAAGAAACCCACCTTTGTTCTTAAGAATTTTGCCTGGGGAAGGGCAGATCTGACATTAAACCTCCTGAGAGCTGGCTAAAACCCTGAGTGTGGAGAAGTGGAGACTGCCAGTATACAGGTCATAATAATCAGAAAGTCTCTTGAAACCACCTCATTGTAAAAAGTCACTTGTATAAAGTCACTTGGGTGGCCAGTATGGAAAAATGAAATCTGTTCTATTGATTGGGTCCTTCAGGATATGTGCCATATGAAGGCACAGAAGGTCATTTATTTTTATGACTGAAATCAACATATGACACATTATTTCAATTTAGAAAGCAGATCTTTTAAAAAAAAAGGTAAAGTCATAATTAAAAAGCATTTTAAAATAGCACTTTATTGAGAATTCCCTTGTGACCCAACCGTTAGGACTCTGGATTCCACTTCAGGGCCACAGGTTCCATCCCTGATCAGGGAACTAAGATCCAGCATACCATGCTGCGCAGCAAAACCAAAACTTTGATTTACAGAAATCTTTTAATAACGTGTCTGTTTCTTAGCTGGGCTAACATTATTACATAAAACACTCCATAGGATGTGATGATCACTAATTTGTTGATGAGGAAATTGACCAGCTCAGAGAAGCCATCCCGTACCTTTTAGGAAATGGCCCAGGGTGGTATGACAGGTCTCTCACCTCCAGTTTGAGACCTTTCTAGACATTCCTCAAACACTTCAAACACTGACTCTTCAAACGCTGCTGTAGATAAAACCTAACGATTATGATACTTCCTACATAAGGAGAATCTAGGGGATGGGAAGGAGAATTGAACGTATAGGAATGAATATGAAGGCGTACTAAATTCCACTTCCCGTTTCTTAAAAGAACTGCTCGAGAGGAGATTCTTTAAAACATCACTACTCTACATTTACGGTGCGAATAAGGAAATTAACAATGCAGACTGGCTAAGAGAGACTTGAAGTAGCTAATAAGGCGAAGGCCGAAGAGAGACACCGGGGCTGCCTCCTTCATTTAGATCAACGATTAAATGAGCACAACAGGGGGCAGAGGCAGGTAGAACGCGGATTCTCGCGTGGCTACCGCGGGTGGTATTCCCGGCACTCGGCGTTCCAGACGCTTCCTCGCGGTGTGCAGGTCTGTGTGGCTTGGACTCCATATTCCACTCGTTTCCCCTCAACGTTGTAGCCTCGCTAACAGGCACTCCAGACGCGAGACGCCGGGACCAGCCAAGATCCAGCGCGATCTCTTAAAAGACGGTGATGATTTTTTTTTGTTTTTTTTTTTTTGGTAGGAGGTGGCGGCCGGGGCTTCCCTTTTGGGGTCCCCCCACCCCCGACTACATCCTCGCCCGCCAGGCCGCGTGCCGCGCCGGGAGGTGGCCTTTCCGCGAGGTGACCTCGGGCTCCCCCCGAGCCCGACCGCAGCACGCTCCGTGTGGAGACGCGAGGCGGTGTCCTGAGGTGACACCGGCTGTGCCGCCGAGGCAGCAGGCGCCGCCGATCAACTAGTTCGCACCGAGGATTCCTCTTGGTGCGTGGCCCAGTTTTCCTCAGGACGGGCTCCAACCCCTAGCCGACACCGCCCCCCGCGCCGCGACGCTCCGAGGCCTTCCCCCGGGACGCGGCGCGTCCCTCCCCCGCTGCTCGGCGCGGGCCGGCGCGCGCGCGCGCGCGCGCGCGCGATTCCTCGATTCCACAGGCGGTTCGCGCCGCGGGTGGGGGCGGGGCGCGCGGGGAGGGGGCCTGCCGCCGCCGGGGGAGGGGGGCCGCGGCCGGGGGCGGGGGCGGGCCGGCGTGGGGAGTTCCTCGCTCGCGGACCACACGCTCTGCGGGCCAATCCCGAGCCAGCCTCGCTCAGTGTCACACGCGGGACACGTCCAAGCGTTTGTTGGCAGGGCCGGCGAGGGGGGCGGGGGCGGGGAGGTGGGGAGGGGAGTTGAGTGACAGGCTTGCGGGGCAGGCTGGGAACTGTAGTTCCCAGCGCCCATGGCCATAGCCATTTTGTAGTCGGGGGACTACAACTTCCAGAAGATCAAGGGGACCATTCTAAGGTGCCCCGGGAATAGGCGGCTCTCCCCGGGGCCAGGCGTCCTGGGGCACTGGCACCCAGCAGCCCGGCTGCAGGTAGACACGCGGCGTGGCGGGGGCTAGCGTTGTGGCTGCCGAGGGGTGAGCGGCAAGCTGGGGAAAGGGGGTGAGGTGGAGCGACCGAGCGTGCCATGCATTGAGCTAGGGAGCCTCTCTCAATTCCAGTCTTAGGCTCGGCGTGGGAGAGATGCCTGCAGGGTAGCCCGGAAAGGGTTCGTCGAGGCCTCTCGGGTGTCTCGTCGACGGGGCCATGGGGGTCCTCTGGGCTGGGCCAGGGGCGGTCGGCACTGGAGTAGGCGGGCGCCTGGTGGCCCAGCTGTGGGAGTTTTCGGCTGACGTCCGGTGGGGAATTATCCGAGGAGCCCTAACTTGTATAAAAGCAGAGTCCATTTAAAGTTGGGCTGGATAGCCTCTCTCTCATTGGTTAGGGGGCTTGGAAAAAAGAGACTCGGCGAGCCCTCGCTGTGGTGCTGCCGCCGCCGCCGCCGCCGCCGCCGCCGCCGCCGCCGCCGCCGCTGCCGCTGGAGTTGACTCTTCTGCTCGCACTGCTGCTGCAGCACAAACGTGACTTCCAACATTTTTTATTTATCTTTCCCTTTTCTTTTCCAAGATGTAACTACAGCTCAGACACTAAGGACCTTCACGTTTCGCTGATGTAGTTTTTGGAGGAAAAAGGGGGGGGAGTGAAGGGCGTCGGTTTTTTTTGTGTGTGTGTGTGTTTCGGGGGAAATTTTCCATTATGAGTGTTTTACTAAAGTGAATTTTTTTTTTGTTTGCTTCGTCTTTGGCTTTTTTTTTTTTCCTTTCCCAATTTCGGATTTATTTCAAGGCGAATCAGGCTTTGGGGAAAGAGGAAGAAAAGTCGGATTACAAGATCAGCCACCACCAACAACAATAAAAACCACCAAGATATTTTTTTGCAAATTTCTGACGGCTTTAAATTCATGAAGCAATTGTCCCCTTTTGCAATCAGCATTTGGATCTCAGAATGAGCAAGGAAAGACCCAAGAGGAATATCATCCAGAAGAAATACGTAAGTGCTCCTAACAACACATCCTTTGACTTGTAGTTTTAAGCAATGGCTGTGAATGTCAAGTTTATAGATAATTCTGCAGCTGAAGGGTTTGAAATACAGCGTCCGATAAGGCTGTTTCTTTCTTTTCTGAAAGAAGGCTTTTCAGGCAAAGTCGTGTCTGCCTAGTTTGGATGAAAAAACAGATTGGTGTAGCGATACCTCCAGTGAATAAATTGACCTCGAATGACACAACCATAATCTAGTTTTAGATGAAAGGCAGGGGATTTTGGTGAAGCCTACTCGGGGAGGTGGGGGCTGCGGTAATATAACTAAACTGCATTCTCGGGCGGATTTGTCCCCATATTGCACTTTGCATGCAAATGAGTGTGTTATTATTATTAATGTTATTTGGGAAATCGTGTAACGCGTGTGTGTTGGAAGCCCTTTAAGTTGTAATCGAGGGTCCGATTATGGCGATCTTGTTCCTTGCACTGGCACATCAAATTTAATGTATGTGGTCGTTTTGGCTTATTTGGTTCGCGACATAAACCAGTTGGGAATCATGTTACAGGGAATGCATTTGTTGGGATTGACTTTAATAATGGGACTGGTTTTGTTTAAAAATTCATGGTTTCCAGTTTTGGGGGAAAAAGACATAGAATATAGTTAACGTTTTTAAGTAGGCATGTGAATGTAAATGTAAGTGACTACAATTAATTTCTCCCAGTTAACTGGGCTTCTGAAATTTGGTGATTATTCCGAGATTTAAATGGTTTGGACTAGTTAAATTTGTTTTGTGCATAGTACAGCTACGTTTTGATTGGCATGGGGAGTGTTTTTGTTTTGTGTGTGGTGGCTTTTTTTTTTTTAAGTTTGGGGGGAGGGAGAGGAGAGGGGGGACCGAGGATTAACCAAATATGCACTCAAGTGATCGGTGATTAGCTGCATGCTTTAAATCAAAGAACCCATTAAAAAAAAAAAAGGCCGAATGAACACACATTAGGAATAAAGCAGTGTTATAAGAAAGTTTGATTTAACTCGGGTGGACAAATTGGTGTTAATATTTTCCCTTTTTGAGCACTATGATGTGTGTAATGGGAGATGACCTTCGGGGCACTGGTTTTGTAAAAAATAGATTTAATGGAAAAGCTGAATACCTCTTCTTGAGGGCTGATCCTAACCTAGACACATAAACTTCAACTATGAAAGAAATGCAAGGTTAAATAATCAAGCGCAACTTAAAACGCTGGTCCCTAAAGAATATAAGAATTAAAATACATCCGCATTGCAGAGGGCTGAGGAGAATGCAAAGGACTAGTTTAAACTCGGGCTGTAGAAACTGCTGGGAGACAAGCTTGCCTGCGAGCGTGGACGCCTTCCCGGGGCACGTCCGATCCGGGTGCAGCCACAAAGCAAAAAGGGGGTAGAACTTGGACCAGAGCCACCCCCGCTCCCATCCCAGCCCTCGCTAAGTTGGGGAGCGACGTGGGGTGGGATTTTTTTGTTCCTGGTGGTCAGCGGATTGTGTCGATTCCGGGCGTCCGGCCGCCTGCCCGCGGCTGGCGGCGGCCGCAGGAGGCAGAGCACGAGTTAACGCTCGGGGAGCGGAGCCTGTGTTCCTGACGTGCTCGAGCCGGTGCGGCGGCGCGGGGGCGGGGGGGGGCGGGAGGCGCGGGGGTCGCGGCGGGCTGGGCCGGGTCTGGGAGGCCGCGGGCGGCCTGTAGGGGGCGGGCTACGGGCTGCGGGCTCGGGGCGGGCGGGCGGGAGAACGGATGGATGGGTGGGTGGGTGGGTGGGTGGGTGGGTGGGGCGCGGGGGGCGGTGCGGCCGGTCGGCCTGGGGAGGGGGCGGCGCGGCGCGGCGAGAGGGGCGGGAGCGCGGCGGGGGCGTGGCGGGGAGGGGGCGGGCAGCGCGCGGCTGTGGCGGGCGCCCCCCAGCGCGCGCACGGCCGAGCATGGCGGCGGCGGCGCGGCCGGCTCCCCGCGGCCTGGCCCGCCGGCTCCACTGCGGGCCCGGGAGCAACAGGTTAAGCCGGCTAGACGTCAGCGCGCCCCCTCCCCGCCCCCGGGTTCCTCCCCCGCCTCGCGCCGGCCTCCGCCCCCTTCCTCCGCTCCCCGCGGCTCCGGGTTCCCGGACGCTCAGGCCGGGTTCTGTTGTCATTGTGACGTCACAAAGGGACGGGCCCGGGTGGAACCTTCTCCTCCTCCGTGACGTCAAAAGTCGGGCGGGAGGTTCCAGCGCGGCGGGGCTGCGGGGGCGGAGGGAGCGGTGGTGCGAAGGCGGGGGCTACCGCCCGGGAGGAGGAGGAGGATGCGATCGGCCTCGGCCTTCCGCCGCGAAGCGCCGCGCTGCCCTCCAGGTGAGCGCAGGGAGCCGCTGGGAGCCTGTGGTCCCCTGGCGAACGCCCCTGACCCTGCTCTGGTTCCGTTTCGGGGGTGGGCAGCAGGCCGAAGACGCCTCCTGTCTGCGAAAACGTTTTCGCTTCCTCTGTTTCCAGGTCTGCTGACGGCTGTGTCATTATTGCGGTGGTGGTCGTGCTTTCTCAAAGTCAGTGCTTTTGCAAAAGCAGGGAAACTTAAGTGGGGCAGCTTGGCTTTGCAGGAGAACAGCGTGATGGGTTTGGCCACCTTGTCAACTTTAAGTCGTGTTGGGGATGTCACGGCAGGATGTGGCGGGGCGATGCTGCACGGCATCAGCTGCTGGTTTTTCTGGAAGCCTTGAAACACCAGAGTGGCAGTTACTATGCCAGCTCTAGGCCTGTGGAGTAGTTCATGGGTTGGTGCAGACGGAAGACGACCAGTCATTGGTAGGTGTCCTTTGAAGAGCCCTGGACTGCAAGTCTAAGGTGTCCTGGGCTCAGTTCTTCAGAACGAGTACATGAGAGGCAGGAAATCTAGGTTTATTTACTCTTATGTAAAATAGAAAAAGTAATACATGCCTTTTCACTTTATCAGAGATCGCGTGCGTGAGATGATGTGCATGGAAGATGTAAAACTGTTCTGTTTCTTTGTAAGATGAAATTATTGAGCTGGTGGAAGGCAGCACATTCCCTACAATTGGTCTCCAAAGCCTTAGATGCCTGCCGCGTTGCCGTTTAGTTTATTGCTTTAGCAAAACAGAGTTTGGGGGTGGGATTGTAGATGGCAAGCTTTGGGAAAAATGATTGTTATATTTCATATTAAATGACGTTTTTGAAAAACTCATAAATTGCAGTGTAATCCTGTCTTAATTACTGGGCACGATTCCCACTACAGTACCTTAAATAACTGAAAACATTTGCCTTTCAAAGCCCCAATCCACTTGGACAATAAAAAGTTACATGTTTTGCTCTATGGGTATTTTATGCCATTCCTGTCACTCCACTGGTTGGTTATTGCTGTCGAGTATAACAGATAAGATACCTAGACTTCAAAACTATTTGATATTTGATGCTTTATAGAAGGTGTGAGTTTGAAATAGAAATCTTTTGCCACATAAAGATATGATTCATGCAGTTAGCAGGAAAACAAATTACCAGTTTGATTTCTAGGACAGCTCAAGAATTTGTAACACTAGACTGTAAATTTTAGGTATTTAATTTTCTGATTTAAAAGTGCAGTGTGATTGGAAACTGTGGGAAAAGTTTGTGTTACAAGATTCAAAAGCAAAGTGTACTCTAATTGCATAAAATTGTGGAGAGAAAAAGTAGAACTACACCAAAATGTAGTGGTAGGATTTATAAGTTGGTTTCCCCCCCCACCACCACCATTTTACACCTAACTGATTTATTTTATGGTTCTGGTGTGGGGGGAACGTGCATACCTTATTTAATTGCTGTATTTTTTTTCTTTTTTGAGCTGTTGAGGTGGCTTGCTTTCTTCCTCTTTCTAGTAGTGGAGAAAACCCATTCTCTTTTTCACATAAGTCTCTGGGCAGAAACAGTTTAGCAACAATCACTGTCTGGAGACATTATGGAAGGAATACTGTTAAGAGTCCGAAGTGTGTTGCTGAAATTAAAAAAAAAAATCATCTTTAAAAATAATCCAATTTATGATTACCTGGGTTATTACTTTACTGTAGACAAGTATCTGACTTGTGTGTCCCCCACAGCCGTTGGCCCAAAGGGCCAACTAGAATTACTTGGTGCTTAGATGGTTTCATGGCTGTTTCCTGTCCTAAGAGGTCAGACCAGTTCTTGTTGCTTGGCTGAGGGCTGTTGACTCACTTCCAGATGCCTTGGAAAGAACTCCAGTGTTAATCTTAATATATATCCTGCTCCAAAGGTTATTTAAAATTTCCTCCTTCAGAAAGAAAAAAATTTTTTGGAGTATGTAACCAGTGTCTTTCAGATTTTAAATAGAACCCTTTTCTTCTTTTCAGACATATGGGAAAGTCATGTTCAGCCTAACATTGAAATACTCAATAAAGGCTAAGCTGAACTTTTTTTTTTAGTTTAATGAGAGTTTTATTTAACCTAGTATACTGAACACATGATCATTTTAACATATAATCAATACAAATAGAAATCTGTACTAATCTACCTTTTTTTTCATCTTGTGTCTTTGAAACCTAGTATGTTTTTTTGATCCTTACAGGACAGCTCAATTTGGACAAGTCATTGCTTCGTGTGACTGAACATATGAAGCTGTCCTACTGAACAGTCCAGATCTGTGTAACCAGAGCTGTATCTCACGTAGCATGGTGTCTGCGTTGGTGAAAAACATCAAGTCCTACAAAATCGAACAGTAAAAATTACAGGGTTAATGGAAAAATAAGGATGAAACATGTCACTCAAAACATAGGCAACTTTGGTAAAGCGAACCATAATGAGTTAGTAATCTGGATCTGGAAAAATGACATGAAGTGCTCAGGTAGGCAGCTCAGACTCCATAGTGAATTGTAAAAATTAAGAGGTGTTACACTGGCAGTATTTTTATAGAGTACACCTCATGTTGCCAGGGCAGTATGGATGGAAGGATTCTGTTAGCTGTAGGTAGGCATTGTTGGTTTTTTTTTTTTTTTTTTGCCTTATGGGGTTT